GCGTCGTGGAGTGCCTTGGGGGGCCTCTCGGGCCGTCTTGGGCCTGTCTTGGGCGTCCTGGAGCGGTCTTTCGGCGACTCGGGGCCCGCTTGGGCCGTCTTGGGGGCCTCTGGAGGCCCTCCTGGACTATTTTGGACCTCCCCGGCCGCCCCGCCCTCCCATGGGGGGTCGGAGGCGGCTGCCCCCCGAGGCCCAGGACGCGGAAACCCTGTTAAAACACACGGGAAAATGAGCCCCGGTCCCCCCATGGAGGGTCGGGGCACCTGTCCTGGGGCTCCCGGCCTCGCCCCCCGGGATATACATATATACATAATTATATATATATATATATATATATGTATATATGTATATATATATATAAATGTATATATATATATATATACATACATATATACATATATATATATATATACATATATATATATATATGTATGTATATATCCTGGTTTTAGTCTTCCCCCCCCACTCCCCATATCTTCCCATCTTTCCTGGGGGATCGACGACCCCTCATGTCTGTGTGCTTCCTTCCCCCTCCCGAAGACGAGGCGCCGCGGGCCGAGGCAAGGGCCGCGGGCCGCCGAGGCGAGCACCGAACGCCCCCCGGGCAAGCAGGGGCCCCAAAGGGGGGAGCACGCGCCACGGGCCGCAGGGCACCCGCAGCGAACTCCGAGCGGCGCTCCGCGCCACTCCTCCTCCTGCTCCTCCTCCTCCTCCCCCTCCTCCTCCTCCGCCTCCTCCTCCTCCTCCTCCATTCCTCGTCCATTTCCTCCCTCTCCTCCTCCTCCTCCTCCTCCTCCTCCTCCTCCTCCTCCTCCTCCTCCCCCTGCCACATGTGAACCCTACCCCTACCCCCCACGATTTCTGAGGGGGAGGGTGGGGTTCACTCCGCTCGGGAGCTCCCGAGCGGAGTGAACCCCACCCTCCCCCTCAGAAATCGTGGGGGGTAGGGGTAGGGTTCACATGTGGCCCCCTAACTCCTCCTCCTGCTCCTCACCATAATCCTTCCCTCCTTCCTTCGACCTCCTCACGCAAAGCAAATCTAATAGGCGTCGTTTCTGGATCCCTCCCTCCTTCCTTCCCTCATTCTCCTCCTGCTCCTCACCGTTCGGGGAACGAAAAGTGACATAAACATAAAAACTCGGAGGTCCGCGCGGATTTCTCGGATCCGCGCTGGACCCCCCTGGCGGCGCCTCCGGCGCCGCCCCTGGCGCGCTTCGCGCGCCAGGGAGGGGGGTCCAGCGCGGATCCGAGACATCCGCGCGGACCTCCGAGTGTTTATGTTTATGTCATTTTTCGTTCCCCTAACTATAATCCTTCCCTCCTTCCTTCAACCTCCTCACGCAAGCAAATCGCATAGGCGTCGTTTCTGGATCCTTCCTTCCCTCCTTCAACCTCCTCACGCACGCAAATCTCGGAGGCGTCGTTTCTGGATCCTTCCTTCCCTCCTTCAACCTCCTCACGCACGCAAATCTCGGAGGCGTCGTTTTTTTAGATGGGCCGCTGGGGATACGCGAATCATCGCGAGGTTTGAACGCCACTCCACACGACAGGGATCCGACGGCGCCACGGGCCCCCAGCAATCTGATCGAAAGTGCAAGTACACCTAATCTTGTGTCTAGGTCACCCAGCTTCGCGCATCGCGCCCCGCGATACGCTAGGTGCGGTCATCTTCGCGGGAGCCCCGCCACCCGGTCCCCGCCCGAGCACGGTGCCGGAATCAGTCGGCAGCGCAACTGGTCATATTTGTGATGTGCATCGACGTGTTCAACCATGCCTCGAGATAGACAGAAAGCTCGACACATGAGTCGGCACTAGTCCACTGGTGTTGCATAAGATTGCAAGCGCCAACGCAATGAGTGCATGCCACTTGGTGGATATGTAGCACCCCGCAATTGCGGATAAGAGTGAAGGGGCGGGCGCGGGGTGGGTCGCGGGTGGGTCGTGGGCGAATCGCGGGTGGGTTGCGGGGTGGGTCGCGTCGCGGGTGGGTCGCGGATGGGTCGCGGGTGGGTCGCAGGTGGTGTCGCGGGTGTGTCGCGAGTGAGACGACGACAACAAAAAACAACAACGCAACAACAATCCGCACCGTGGAACCCCACTTCAGCCACGCACGCAGGGACAGTGAATGACCGTTCGGCCCTCTCACTCTGATGACTGTGGATGGACCGAATCCATCGTGACGAAGATAGTGCTGGTAATGATCGACATGTTCGTCATGGATGACATATGCCTGCTGGCGCTTACACGAATGCAACTTGACGACGTGTGGTGAAGATGGGTTGCCGTGAGCTTACGCATATGCTGGTACCAGCTCACTCCAGCTGGAAGGCCGATGTAACACTTTGACGTTGCCAGCGCGTCCACCATTGAATCGGATGATTGAGGCTGAGCATTCGAATATACAGGGTACGGAGACACATTTTTTGGATGGGGAGATGGCGCAACGGTAGATATTTGACCTCGAGCTGCATCTGGAAAAAACACTGGAACCAACTCTGAACGAGCGAAAATGCCGATGCAGGAGACAGCACAGGTGGGATGGTGGAGGAGAGCGGACAGAAGGACAGGGACGGAGAGGGCTTGGCGAGGCAGAACAGGTTGGGGCACCGCGGGGTAAGGGGGAGGAGGAGGAGGAGGATGAGGAGGAGGAGGAGGAGGAGGAGGAGGAGGAGGAGAAAGAGAAAGAGAAAGAGGAGGAGGAAGAAGAGGAGGAGGAGGAGGAGGAGGAGGAGTGGAAATGGAAATGGAAAGCCACGCCGCTGCCTCACAAAGCTGTCGTCCGACAGGCGTATGCTCAACATGTGTCGCAGCTTCCGCAACACTGGCAGCAACTCCCTGGGGCACTCGGCGGGGTCCACAGTGACACCTCAGGCAAGATCACTCAGCATCGAATGGGACACCGGATCGAAGCGGAATGAGCATCGGATCGGGATGCATCGGCACGGAGTCGAAGCCGAATCGGATCGCCGCGCCAGGATGCAAGGCAGCGCCATGCAATCATCGGGCCGCATCGGATCGTCGGTCGGGGTACCGGAATCGAATCAGCGCGAGCTGGCCAGAACCGATGCTGACTCGGACCGATCGGACCGAATTGGGCCCCGCCCTAGGGGCACAGGGCCTGATCCTGATCGAACTCGATCCTCCTCCTCCTCCTCCTCCTCCTCCTCCTCCTCCTCCGCGTTCCTCTTCCCTCCCTCCACCTGGGGGCCTCCCTCCTCTGGCCTCCAGCTCCACGCCTCCCGCCTCCCTAGAGGCCCCCCCCAGCGGAGCACCGCCGGCGCACCGGCGACGCCGGCGATGCGTCGGCGGCGGAAGCGCGGAGGAAATCGGGATCCACATCGAGCCGCATCGCCGATGTTTCGGCGATGCGGCGCGACCCCCCAGCCCCATCTACACCACGCGAAATGGTTAAGAAATCATGGGTTAAGAAATTCATGGTCTCAGAACTTGAACAAAAACCCAGAATTTCTATGAACATCTTAGGATTTACATGGAAACATTAAGAATAATCGAGACTCTGGCCGAAAACCTAAGTTTTCTTAAGCATCGCCTAAGGTGTACAGTGGGACCTAGGCCAGAAGAACATCCTTCAAGAACATGGGGCCCTCCGCCGGCCAAAACACACAGAACAGCCTAGGGTACCCTCCCCAGGATGCACACGAGCATCCAACAAACGAGAAAAACTTTAGGGTTAAGTCGGGCAAGTCCCCCTACAGGGGGGTTCTGGGCGAACAAAAATGTGCAAACAATACCCGTAAATATTCAAAAAATATATAAAATAGGCCCGAGACTATTTTTGACGATTCCTCCTGTAGAGGGACAGGCCCGACTTAACTCGGGGCCTCACCGGCGAGGCCTGGACTCTTGCCCCCCCCCCCCCTCGCTCCCCCGCGCTGTGCTCCCTGCCCCCCGCGGCACGCTCCTTCCCATTCAGCCATTCAGCACACCGCATGTGGAAATTTAGCAAAATCGTGGGGCCCAAATCGGGTCCTACGACGTGGGACCCAAATCGGGTCCCAATTTAGCACATGCTATCCTCCCCTTTCGTGGGACCCAAATCGGGTCCCACGAAAGGGGAGGATAGCAAAAGGCAGGGCAGAGAACCAGCTCACGCAGCGGGTTTTCCTGGCGCCTCCTGGCGCCGGGAGGCGCCCATGTATCGAAGAATAGGCCCGGCGACGGGGCCGAAACCAGCTGCATGCACCAGATTTCGTACCCCCCCCTTTCCCAATCCCCCCTTTCGCCCGACCCGAATAGCAAAGGGCAGGGTAGAGAATCAGCTCACGCAGCTGGTTTTCCTGGCGCCTCCTGGCGCCGGGAGGCGCCCATGTATCGAGGATTGGGTCCGACGACGGGGCGGAAACCAGCTGCATGCAGAGGATTTGGTAAGTCCCCCTTTCCTAATCCTCCCTTTCATTCGGCCCGACAGAAGTTGACGACCTGAGAGCAGGAGGATCGCATCTACGACCTGAGAGCAGGAACGACTCATTCAACGATCCGCAACTCGACCTGAGGTCGTCTGCGAGGAAGCGTCGAGACACCGTCCGACATCTGGCCGATCGCGCGAGCAGGTCGGAGGTAGAGCGGGGGGAGGGGCATCCCAGCTCACGCCCCCCCCCGCCGCCGAGTCCCCCTACAGGGAGATTTTGGGCGAAAAATAAAAGATACTCGAAACATACCTCCAAATGGGCAAGAATAATCAAAACATCGTCCCCAGACTATTCTTTTACTATTTCTGAACATTCCCCCTGTAGAGGGACAGGCCCGACCTAACCCTTGTCCTGATGGGAAAAACGGCCAGAAAAAGGAGAGCACCTCCTGGACCCAAAGTGGTCGGCATTTCAACGTCTTGACGGTACTCCTTTTCCATCCTCCGACGCCCCCTCCTGCCCGCCTTCCGTTCTGCCATGGTCGTGAACATCAGCATACACATCTTCGCTGGCGGCAACAGCGGTGCTACCAATCTCCGACGCCTCGGCATGGTTAGCAGCAAGCCACGGCTAGTGGGCGGCACCGTGCTGCATGAGGAGGTCTTTCTGGTTCTTGTTCCAGGCGCAATCGCACGTCCCCTCGAACTTGAAGGGGTAGGCTGGTGCGATCGACTGTGGCATCCCCCTCCTCCTCCTCCTCCTCCTCCTTCTCCTCCACCTTCCCGTCCCATTCCTCTAGTGCATGATGCCCCTCCTGCTTGCGGTTCGGCCTTTTGGGCGCTATGAAGTATGAACACGATGAATTATGATCAGAGGGTGGGTGCCCGAACGGTTTACTTTGTCCCTGCGCGTGTTCGTCCATCTGGGAATCGTCTCTCTGGGGGCCAGCGCTTGAGGGCCACGCTTCAGGGGCCGCGCCGGGGGGTCTCGCTGGGAGGCCACGTTAGGGGGGGCTTGCGCAAAACTTGCTGCACACTCTTGCTTGCCCGCAGCCGCGGGGGACTGGGTACATCCTCCTCCTCCTCCTCCTCCTCCTCCTCCTCCTCCTCCCTCTCCCCCTCCTCCTCCTCCTCCTCCTCCTCCCTCTCCCCCTCCTCCTCCTCGTCCTCCTCCTCCCTCCTCCTCCTCCTCCTCCTTCTTCTTCTTCTTCTCCTTCCACTTCCTCCTCCTCCTCCTCCTCCCTCCTCCTCCCTCCTCCCTCTTCCCTCCTCCCTCCTCGGTCTGGGCGGAGCTGCGCGTGGGAATTACAGTCAACCCATATAGTAAGGATGGGCGATAAGGATGCAAAGGGCCTTGGACGCCCATGCCGAGGCTATTGAAGCGGGGCTGGCCATTGAAAGTGGTTGAGGACGGACCGAAGATGACCGAAGAGGCAAGGATGCAAGGGTGCCCGTGGGAATTCGATCATCCTTACTACCAGGGCTGACTGTAGCGGCGGCTTTCTGGCCAAATCCCTGGACCCCTCTTATGGGCCATGGCTTCCAATGAACCTGGCCGCCCCTGGGCCCTCAAGACATACTGCACCCAACACGCTGGACAATACCTGATACATTCAATTCGCAGAAACCTCGTCACCTTATCATATTTGGCCTCTCCCCGATAACAATCCGGGCCATGTGTGGGACACCATGGCAATTTCAGCTCGCCCCAGTGGCCGGGCCAGTGTCGTGCGAGTGCGCTTCCTGCGCAGCCGCCGCGAAGTCGGTGAAGGCTTTGCTGGGCATGGGGGGCGATCACTCAGAAAGAAGAACATAATATAGAGAGTGACGGAGAGAAAGAGAGAGAGAGAGAGAAACCGCGGGGGAGAGCAGGAGAGACAGAGAAGAGAGAGAGAGAGAGAGCAAGAGCGAATTAATGGGAAATACAAAAAGAAGAGAGAGAGAGAGAGACATCCATATAACAGAAAACACAGAGAGAGAGAGAGAGAGACGAGAAAGGCAGACGCAGGACTACCATGGAGCGGGCGCAGCGACAGATACGACAGCATGATGAACACACACATATACATATATAAGATTATAACCCCATCCGTGTATACACGTACTGATACACATATATACGCACGAACACACAAGTGCACTGTAATCGCGCGCGCTTCGCCAGCATCTGTGCAGGGCGACGTCACAACACAACTGGTGAACGTCGCGATGCCCTTCATGTCGGGACCGTCTCGCGCTGGTACCGGGCCGTTTTTGTTTCGTTGAGCTCCCTCCACGTCTTTCCTCGTTTCGTTTTCCGCCCTCCTCCTACTCCCTCGCCCTCACCCTGCTGTTCGCTTAAGCCTCCGCAGTTTCCCCCCCCCCCCCTCCTAAGAATCTCCCCCATCGTCCTCCATCCTCCGTTCGTTTGCCTCGCGTTTCCAAACTGCTGGCAGGGAAAGGAGTCAGTGGAAAAGAAGAGGGAACGGAAGAGGAGCAGGAGATGGAGGAGGAAGAGAGGAGAAACAGGAGGAAGGCCAATATAACCCCAAAACGCATCAACGTCACAAACTTTCACAAACAACCACGTTCGTTACGGCAATTGCCCCATTGGACAACAAGCGTATGATAATCATCAATCGTGCGAAAACACAATTCTTTGGATTTCACCGCCGCGGATCAGTGTGACAGCTGCGCCCTGACAGCCCTGGATATCGTCCCAGAACACACCATCCTTGGGAATCCAACCGCACGAACCTTTGGCACCGCTGCAGACATTCAATACGACTGTGCGCGGCGTTACTGCGAGAGCCACATGTTGAAGAGGCACCGCCTTCCTTGTTTGAATCTGTTGTAAGCCTCGAAGACGAATATGCGCGGCGCTGAAGCCAACTCCTCATTCTGAAAACGGGCCGCCTTCCATCCTCGAAACCGTGGCCTACGTTTGAATATAGTGTGCGCGGCACTAAAGCGATAATCGCATTCTGAAAACGGTTCGCCCTCCATCCATGAACGTGTTGCGCGCATTGAAAACGGATGTGCGCGTCGCAAAATCGGAAACCGTGTTAAAGAAGGGCCCGCCCTCAATCCGCGAAGCTGTTGCGAATTCCAGTTGCAGGGTCATAGGTGGTGAAGAAATCTCGAGCGAGACGCCCGGCCCGCCATGCCGACACGGCCGGGGGTGCGACAAGGAGCTCTTCATACGTAAGAGAAATGGAAGAGGAATCGGACGGGAGAGGGGGAAATAAGAGAGGGAGGGAGGGGAAATAAGAGAGGGAGGGGAAATAAGAGAGGGAAATAAGAGAGGGAGAGGGAGGGAGGGAAATAAGAGAGGGAGGGGAAATAAGAGAGAGACGGACGGGGGAGGAGAAATGGAAGAGGAAACGGACGGGAGGATGGACTGCTTGCAAAGGAGAGTATGGGGAGGATGCACGCAGCCTCTAAAGGGTCTTTCGCGCTTGGCACAAACAGCCGCCGTGATCATGCTCGGAGCGGAGGCCTCGAGCAATCGCTCGCCTCGCACAACCTCGAAAACCACCCGCGGGATCTCGGCGGAGGAAGCGCGCGAGCGCAACTCGAAAAAGCAAAGATAAGTGAAGCTCGACAGTATAACAAATACTTTGATAATTGAATCGTGATGTAATCAAGGCGAAGCCATGCCATTTCGGGATCAGCGACGGCGAGGCGATGTTTGTTAGTAAGGGCCTCCGTCCGATGCAAGTCAGAGGAGTGCCTCAGTGTTGTGAAGCGACGCATGTGCGAGAACCCATTTTTCAAATATGGTGGCGGGGGGGCGCGCGTCGAGCATTCCCCCACGCAGCAAACAAATCACAACCTTATTTGGGGACACAAAGAGCCCATGGCACCTGCAGGAAGACGGAAGGATACCCCCAGACGTAGGCAGCAGAAGCTCAGGAGCCGAGCCGGGGGCCGCGACGCCCCCGCAAGCACCCACGCGCTTGGCCTTCTCTGGGTGTTCAGGGGCGCGGGGCCGCGACCCGCGCTGGAGGCCGCCCCGTGCAAGGCCTCATCAGCGTGAGCTCTGAAACGAAATTGCCTCTGGCCGTCTGACGGCACGGCGGTGCCCGGCAAAAGCCTTCACGCGCGAAAGGTGAATGCGAGCGTGTGCGCGATGACGTGGGCGCACCATTGCCCCAAGGTCTGGCTCGCGCTCGGCGAACCGGTTCGCGTGGCGAATGCGCCCTCGCCTGGCCTCGCGAGCTCCCCCCCCGTCCACGACGTCGCAAACGACCTCCCTTCCCTGCCCCCTCCAACAAACGTAGCTTCGCCAACATTTCGGCTGGCGGCCGGGCGGCGCGCCGGTTCGCCCACTGGGCCGACCTGGCAAGAACAGCTATCTCCGCATATCACGGGCGACGCGCGATGATCTTGCGATGCTGACTTACAAACTTGCCAAGAGTTACTCCAGATTTCGGAATAAAAGGTAGGGGGTCTGGACCCTCCAGGACAAGCCATTTCAGACCCCCCCCCGTGGGAGAACCCTCCAAAACATCGTCCCCGGACCCCCCCAGGCCCTCCAAGATAGCCTGGAAGAGACCCCCCCCGAAATGAGACCCCCCTCCCTTTATTATAAAATCTGGAGTAGTTGGGCCGAGTCCCGCGAGTCGTGGTTCGGCGTTTGGGGGCGCGGCGCCGCGCTCGCCCCCGTTCGAGCCCTCGCGGCAACTCGAGAAAGTCCGCGTAGATACTCCAGCGGAGCGAGCGCGACGTTTAGGATCTGCACCGCTGCATAGATTTCCGCGCGAGGGCTCGTCTGATTAGACCCGGGCAGTTTCTCCAAAAACGCAGGCGGACACAGCGCCATCGCCCGACTGAGCGCGCCCCCAGCCTGCGCGCGCGGCCATGGGCCAGTAGAAGCACCTGCGGCACGCGCCGCGGTAGGGCTCCCAACTTCGCGCTTCGCGCTGCGCGAAGCGCGAATAACTTCGCGCTCTCGCGCCGCCCTCCCAAAGGGAGAATAGGAGGACGAGGAGGAGGGGGAGAAGGAACGAGGACCGCGAAGCGCGAATAACCTCGCGCCCTCGAGGGAGCCCTTGGGAAGAGATCTTGCCCGCGACGAAGGAGCAGCCTCCGCGCGGCGAGCGCCGCCTTGCTGCATCGCCCCGCGGAGGAGGTCGCGGCCGCAGCGCCCTCGGGCGACGACCGCGACGCCACGGCCAAATAGCAGGACTGGGATATGGCAGCGCCGCGGGCCACCACCGCGACTCTTTCGATTTTGTCTACGGCTACGAGGGGTGCCGGAATGGGGGCGGGGAGCAGGGCAGCAGCCAGCCCGGAGCCCTCCGTGCACCATGGACAGGCTGGGGCGAGTGGCGAACCACACGGCGAGCGAGCCGTCAGCGTCGCAACCTACGGCGGGCGCCGTGCACGGTCAGTCCCAGGCCAGCCAGGCCCGCAGCGTCTTGGGGGGCGGAAAGAGATGGATACGTGTTGTCCCCGGACCTCTCTTGGGGTGCGTTCTGACCAGAATTTCGAGGCGAATCCAGCGGTGACAACGAGGATTCCCCAGGAGGACCAGGAAAGGCCGAAAACGAAGGGGGACAACACGTATCCGTATCTTTTTCTCCCCCGAGTGTCAGCATCGCCGCAAAATGAGCTGCGCCCGTCGTCCGCGGCGTCGCACCCCCGCGAGACGCGAACAGCATCGGCCCCACTGCGACGGGCAGGTGGCCCGCGCCCCCCTGCGCTGGCGGCCCCGGCGAGCCCGCCTGCTGCTGGGGGAAAATGCCGGGGCGCCCTGGGCCCTCGTTCTCGCGCGCTCCTCCTCCTCCTCCTCCTCCTCCTCCTCCTCCTCCTCCTCCTCCTCTTCCTCCTCCTCGCGCGCTCGCCCGAGGTGGGGCTGCGGCGGACCCCGACGGATGCCCCGCGGGGGGGTGCTCGGGACCCAGGCTGGCAGGCGCACCTCAGTCGGGCCGCCTGCCCCCCCCCCCCCCACCACCACCACCGCGCGCCTCCGCGCGCCCGCCGCGCGGGCAGGCCCCCGAGGCGCCCGCGGCGGAAGCCGTCGGAGGTCCAAGGCGCTCCCGAGATCGGCGCGCATGTGACATGGCGATGGGGCCACCCGACTCAGGCCCCTGACGGCCAGGATGGCGGCCCCCGCTGGGCCCCCGACTTGTCCCCGAGGATGCGCCGCGCGAGGCGCCGCGGGCGCCCGCTGCTGCGGCCGCGCCCGCTGCGAGAAGTCGGGGAAGCGAGGGCGCGGCGTGCCCGACTGGCGCAGCGGGCCCGCCCGCGATGGCGTCCATGGGTCTTGCGCGGCCCCCTCGCGATGAAAACGCGAGGACCAGGCTGGGCCTCGTTTGCCCGGCTCGGGCCAGGGGCCCCGCGGGGCCGCGCGCACTGGTCGAGCGACGGGCGGAGGCGCCACCAAACATGATCATGCCTGCCCACTGGACGCGTCGCAGTTGCAGCGTCCCTTCTCACAATTCTGACTATTCCCGAGCTAAGCCGCGAACGCTTTAGGAGCCTTTCCCAAATCTACTTCGACTCCAAGGATGAGTCAGGTGATGAAGCGCTCGGCAGACCCTTCTGGCAAGCGGCGCATAGGTGGCAGCGGCCGCCATTTGACGCTCAGGCGGGCCAAGACAACCCCATTCAGCGCATGAGCAACACCTCTCAAGCCAAGACAAGACTGTTCCGAGATCTCCGAAGCTCGCGCAAGTACTGGAATGATGAGGTCATCCACATGCACGCGCAGCGCGCAGCGCGCGCTGCGCGCGCGGCCAGGCCGCCCAGCGGCGCGGCCATACTTGGATAGAACATGCGCGGCCAAGCTGCATCCGGCAACGTTCCTCGAGACGCCCATGCTGGACCCGCGGGGACTGCAGACCAGACCGGGCGCCGCGACGCCGCGCGCACCCAGATAGCAAGGAACGCGCAACTTCGGGCCAGGGACGCCGCGATGCAAGCCAGCCCTCGGGGCAGTATCCCAAACGACCCGATTGAAGCATGATTGGGCGCCCGAGTTATCCGGGGTAACTCGGGTCCGGGGTAACTCGGGTTTGGATTCCCGAAAAAGGAACCCGAGTTAGCCCTGACCCGAGTTACCCCTGATGATGTGGGGTTCTGGACGCCCGAGTTATCCGGGGTAACTCGGGTCCGGGGTAACTCGGGTTTGGATTCCCGAGAAAGGAACCCGAGTTAGCCCTGACCCGAGTTACCCCCGACGATGTGGGTTCTGGACGCCCGAATTGTCCGGGGCAACTCGGGTCCGGGGTAACTCGGGTTCGGATTCCCGAAAAACGAAGACGAGTTAGCCCTGGCCCGAGTTACCCCTGATGATGTGGGGTTCTGGACGCCCGAATCATCCAGGGTAACTCGGGTCCGGGGCAAGTCGGGTCCGGATTCCCGAAAAACGAACACGAGTTAGCCATGACCCGAGTTACCCCGGATGAGTCGGGGCTCTGAGGAACTGCTCGCAACTCGCCTGGATCCGGCGCGGGGGACTTGCCCTACGACCCGCTGCATCGAGGCAAGCGTGCGTCTTCTGACGCCTGCGAGCAGGGCCTTTGCGAGTAGTGCAGCGCGCGCCACAGGAGTGATTCGGGGCTCTGACATGAGCCGACGTCCACGATCGCGTGCTCGCGCGCGGCGCCCCCCCCGGCAGCCCGCTCTCCGCGGCGGGCGGGCGCCGCCGCTCGGCGGCTCCGGCACCTCGCTCGTCGCGGCGCGCCGTTCGTGCCGGGAGCAATGCGGTCGCGACTAAGCTGATTGACCCCGTCTCTCACGCGGTCGAGTCTCGGGTCGGGCGAAAGGGGGGGTAGCAAAGGGGGGGGTTGAGAATCAGCTCGCGTAGCTGATTTTCCCGGCGCCTCCCGGCGCCGGGGGGCGCCCATGTGTCGAGGAATGGGCCCCTCGGTGGGGCCGAAACCAGCTGCATGCAGCAAATTTCGTAAGCCCCCCTTTCCCAATCCCCCCCTTTCGCCCGACCCGAGCGGTGTGCCCGAGGGGGGGAACGGCAAACTGGGGCGGGTCTCCCCAGAGGGCCCCAGCAGGCCACCGGCCCTCTGAGAAACTCGCTGGGGAGGAGGAGGAGCAGGAGGAGGAGGAGGAGGAGGAGGCGGAGGAGGAGGAGGAGGAGGAGGAGGAGGAGGGGGAAGGAGGAGGAGATTCGTAACCCCAGCTGCATGCAGCAGATTTCGTAACCCCCCCCTTTCCCAATCCCCCCCCTTTCGTCCGGCCCGACAGAGTCGGGCCGTCGTGGCTTTGGAACCGACCCCGTGGGGTCTACGGATGTCGTCGTCGTCGTCGTCGTCGTCGTCGTCGTCGCGTGCGCGCCCCAGCTGGAGCGTTCAGTCTGCCTTGCTCGGAGCCCGGTTCGGCGGGGCGCGGCCTCTGGCGAAGGGCTGCGGCCGCCCTCTCGAGCCCCTCTCGGCTTCGGCGCCCGTGCCGGCCCCTCGTTTGGGCCCTTTCTCGGGGTGGGCCTCGTGTCCTTCTGTAGAGCGCACTTTTTGATTCGCGGTCATAACAGTCATTATGGGGGGGGAGGGGGGGATAAGGGAGGGGGCATAACGTAGCACCCCACCCGCTCCCGCCAGACTGTGGTGCCGGACGCACTGCGGCAGTGCCGGGGACGCACTGGGGGGGAGCGTTACTTAATGGGGGGCAGGGGGAGGGGGTTTGGGGCATACCGCGCGTTATGGCCCAGAGGGTAAAAACAACACTCTCGTAGAGGGCGTGGCATGCCTCAGACTGCTGTTGCCGGGAACTTGGCTCCGAAATGCACGACTCTGACTAACTGAATGTTCCACCCCGCTTATAACTGAGGTATTCCGTGACATACGCATCTTGCCGCCATTGCAATGCCTGATCACACCAGAGACTGCTTCTAGTGACCACCAGATTGTCTGGATCGGATCAAGCATACACCTGTTGTTTGTTAGATTGCTGAACGATTCCTCCAGTAGAGGAAAAAACGGTGTAATGCGGATTTATTGGATCGGCGCTGGACCCCCCTTCCTGTCGCGCGGAACGCGCCAGGAGCGGCGCCAGAGGCGCCGCCAGGGGGGTCCACCGCAGATCCAACAAATCCGCGCGGAGCTCCGAATAGTTCTGTTTATGCAACTCGTTCTTCGATTCTCGGGGTGGGCCTCGCATCCCTCTGCAAATTGGCAAAGGCGGGTCTGCCATGGAGGGAGCCAGGAGCCGCATGGCATTCTGGCCAGACCGCGAGCAAGCACATCAACAGGAGCGCGGTTTCCTGTCGGAAGGTTATCTACGCAAGTGCGGGGCCCCTAGAGGCAACAGGGGCAGCAGGGCCGGAGAGCGGGGGCCGCAGTAAGGGGGAGCTTCAGGGGGGGACCGGCGCAAGGGGGGGGAACATCGAGCCTGAATCGGCGGTACGTCCCCGATAGATCGGCGACAGGCCCCCGCTGGCGAAATCGCACGCTCCTGGGGGGGCTGAGCGATCCGGCCCCCATCTGCGATGAGTGGCCGATTGCGGGTCGATGCACCCGCCCACCCTGAGCCTATCCCCCCCTAACGCTGCCCCTGACACAAGGGGGCCACAGGCCACTAGCCACTAGCCTCCGGTCGCAAAGTCGAGGTTCGAGACCGCTCGACACACGAGGGTCACGAGGAACCACGGGGTAACGGGCAAGATGTTCCCCGCCGTTCACCCTTACTCCTTGGTGCTGACCTTGCGGATTCAGTCGTTTGTGTGGGGCCAACGGATATTCTCCAATCGCTCCGAACTGGCTCGAGCCAAAGACGGCACGCTTCAACAAAGATGCTCGAACGGCGTATCATCAACGACCCCTACGGCAAGCAAACGCTGTTGAGCAATCCAGCTCGTTCTGCAAAACGCATAGGTGTCCTGATTCGCTCCCGAACTATAGCGCGCATGCGAAATATTGACGACAGGAAGGCACTGCAGGAATGCACGCCTGGCCTCGAAAGCTTGAGCTTCTTGTCCTTGTCCATCCGGTCGTACGCCTTGCACCAGTCAGTCAACGAGATCCGCCGTCCCTCCCTCGGGTCAGACACGGTTAACGTGATAGCTTGACCTCTAGGTGCTCGGATGTTGGGGTACAGTGAACACGTGCAGTAAGGATGCGCGATAAGGATGCAAGGGCCTTGGACGCACAATTCGAAGCTCTTCGAGCGGGGCGCGGCCAACGAACGTGGCGAAGGATGGACCGAGGGGGCAAGGATGCAAGGGTACCCTTGGGAAGGCTGCCCCTCCTCACTATGCGGGTTGACTGTATACCCATTGGTCGTAAAAAGTGGTGAGGAGCATGAAGCAGGAATGCGTTGAAGATAGAGTGGGCTTCCGGCCGCCACCTGACGACGAAGGAAGAGGGAAACGCGCCCGATGATGGAAGCAAGAAGGCTCCTAGAGCACAGTGGGATCTGGGAGTCCGCAAAAGCACCTGCGTTCACTGACCTAGCGGTACTCGGATGCGATCAGAGAGGGAGCGGCAGTGGGACCGAGTGCAAAAAAGGTAAATTGCGGCACAAAGTAGGGGCACGACAAGGCGACGCCGCCACGAGGCGCCAGGGAGGGTCCTCCCCGTGATGCGTCTCCCCCCCCCCCTCCCCCTCGCCCGAGGAGTCCCCCGTGTCCAGCTGGGAGGGGCGTCGTGGACCCCCATCGCAGGAGCTGCCCCCCCTGGCGGTGGTGGTGGCGCTGCTGCCTCGCCTTCTGGAGCGCACGCTCACACGGATTGGGGATCCGTGGACCTGGCGCCCCCGAGACCTGAGGCCAATGCCGCCGAATCTGGCAACGGACGGCGCCGATCCTGCGCGAAACGACGGGACGCGCCGCGAAGCCAAACGCCCTGAGACATGTCTGTGCTTCACTGAAGACGGATGCGAGGCGGGGACTTATCCACAACATCTTCGGGGACGACGACAGGTGGCGTGTATGGATGTGTTTGCCCCCCCCCCCCCCCTCAGGCCCACATATGACCATGTCTGCCGCCTGCCGAGGTCCATGAAGATCGACCCCCCAGGCGGTGGTGTTTTATGGACAAATCCGCGCCTCGGAACAGGGTTGGCGGTGGACGGGCTCGACGTGGCATTCTGGAGGACTCCGCCTCGGCGGGTGCCTGGCAGCCGCCTGACTCCTCCGCGCAGGCGGCCCCAGAGGATCGCAAGATTCGGACCAAGTTACGACAATCAAGCCAGAATATCAAAGCACGTCGATACATGTTTGTTGCCAGTGTCGGGGTGACGGTTCGCCCCTTGCGTGGTTCTGCTGGGCCAAACTGACTGCTGACGACGTGCATGCAAAAGGGTATGCGGGGCCCGACATGGGATCCTCATCCAATGTCGCCCCGTGTCTGGCCCTCCCCAGAAGTCCAACACTTCCGCTCCACCCACCTCAGAGGAACAACACATTGCAGAAGCAGAAGCTTCCAGAGGTCCGAGCGGATATCTTGGATCTTCGGTGAACCCCCTCTCATCCCTGGCGCGCGAAGCGCGCCAAGGTCGGCGCCAGATGCGCCGCCAGGGGGGGCAGCTCAGATCAAAGAAATCTGCGCCGACCTGCGAAAAGCTGTGTATGCAGTTGTTGCTTCTTAGACTCCTCCGCCCATCCCTCTCCTCGTCTCCTTCCCTTTTCTCTCCGGCCCCCCCGGTCTCCCTCGCGGATGGGACACGTTGCGTCCACGATGAGGTGGCCCAAGGGTCAACCCAGAAAGGATCCACCTGAAGAAGAAAAAACGGCAGAAACATAAACTTTTGGCGCTCCGCGCGGATCTCTTGGATCTGCGCTGGACCCCCCCCCTCCCTGCCGCGTGGAGCGCGCCAGGGGCGGCGCCCGAGGCGCCGCCGGGGGGGGCCCAGCACGGATCCCAAAAAATCTGCGCGGTGCACCAAAAAAATATGTTTATGCCGTATGCCTTTTTTTCTTCTTCGACCACCAAGTCCACCCCGGGGGCTGCCAACGCTGATTGACGCGGTATCGGACTGCACTTGCCGCCAGGACCGCCAGGAGCGAAGTTGCGGGGCGTCCAAGAGGGGGACTCGCGTAATCATCATGCTGCGAGACACAGGCGCGGCCGAGGGGGGGTCCAAAGGACGGATTGAAACCCGCTGACCTCCGCTTGCCGGGGGTGAGAAGGCGTGTGACAATGTTGGCTGTCCCCCTCCCGCAGGGTCCAACATCTCGTTCAAGGGGGGGGGGAAGGGGGGGGGAGAAGGTTTGGGGGGGTATCTAGGCTCCTCGGCGCACCCCGGGAGACTCTTGAGTTTCCAACGAAGACTTTCCAAGACGGTCCCGAATCGCGGAACGATTGGCCCAAGACGCCTACGATAGCTCCAAGACGCCTATAGACGGACGGCTTCGAGACGCCCCAAGAGCCTTTCCAAGACGGCCCCGAGAGGCAAGCACCAATGGTTTTCCTCAGGCTTTGACATTGTTCTGGGGTTATCGTCTTCTCGAATAACCGACGCTACAAAGACGGCCCAAGAGGCCCCGTAGACCGCTCCAAAACTGCCCAAGAGGCCCCTACGAAGGCCCCAGGACGGCCCAAGAGGGATCCAAGAAGGCCAACTAAAAGGCACCGAAGACGGCCAAATAAAGCCCCAAGAGGGCCCCAAGAGGGGCGAAGAGGGAGAACACGAACATAACATCATCTTTCCGCCTCCAAAAAACTCAAGCGGCACCAAGGATGCCCCCAATGAGCCCCAAGAGGCGCCCCAGAGGCCCAAAAGAGGCCCCAAGGCGGCCCTCAATACGCTTCAAAACTGCCTCCAAACGGCCCAACCAAACCCCCAAATGGTGCCCCAGAAACCCACGACGCCTCCACCGTGGGCTCCACGCCTCTTCGTGGGGCCAGCGGAACGGCGCAAGCCTCTTGAATACCAAGATGGGGTCACGATGGTCGGGCCGATCTTATGGCCCCAGCCCTGGTCTCCCCCCTCCGGCCATCCCCCACCTCGACGCCTGGTGGTTTCGGCTCATACCTCGTACCTCCGTGCGCCGTTTGGGCCGGTCCGAGCACCCGCGGAAAGCCCTCGACGAGGCGCAGCTGCTGGCAAGCATCCCGAGGCGAGAAAACCTCCAAGAACCAACGAAAACTGCATCCTCTCGCGGAATCACCCATCCCTTGCCGCCCCCGAAAGGATGGAAGGGTAAGAGAAACGCACCACTTGGCCCCCAATGAATTGCCGCAAGGCGACCGTATCACACCCTTGCGCCTGGTGTCGATGGCGTCGAAGAGAGCGCCGTGGCCACCAGTACCCGTAAACTCCTCCCTCGAGATGAAGCCGTTGGTGTCCTCCGAGGCACATGAAGGGCTCCGATCGGACACGCGCTAACACGGATTTGGGAACCGTGGATCTGGCTGGCGCGTGGGTCGAGACATGAGACCAATGCCGCCTGATTTGGCAACGGAGCGCGCCGATTTTGCGCAGAAGCAAGGCCCGCCGCTAATCCACGCGCCCCAATGCATACGGCGGGGGACTAGGTCAGCGGGGGAGAAATCGAACTGAAATCGGCAATGCATCTTGGACAGATCGGCGATGGGCCCCCGATAGCGAAACCGCACGTTCCTGGGCGGGCTGGGGTGGGCTACCGGGCCGCTATCGACGATCAATGGGTGATTGGGGGTCGATGCGTCCCCACCTGAGACTTCCCCCCCAATAATCCTCGTCGCCTGACTTTCGGGTCATGACTCGGGTCTCCAGCGGCCGTTCCGCACGATCCGGGCACCTCAGGTCGTCGTCGTTGCCGTCGTCGTCGTCGCCGTCGGGAGAGGAGGAGGAGGAGGAGGAGGAGGAGGAGGAGGAGGAGGAGGACGAGGAGGAGGAGGAGGCACACCTGCGGGAGAGCACCCCGAGGCTGGAGCACGTCCAAAGACCTCGAGTCTCGAGCCTTGGGAACGCCACCCGCCCTGAGCCCATCCCTATCCCCGAATAGCGTTGCCCACTAGTCCCCAAAGAGAACGTTTGGTGCCACTCTGCCCATCCTCCTCCTCCTCCTCCTCCTCGTCCTCCTCGTCCTCCTCGTCCTCCTCCTCCCTCCTCCTCCTCCTCCTCCTCCTCGTCCCCCCTCCTCCTCCTCCTCCTCCTCCTCCTCCTCCTCCTCCTCCTCCTCCTCCTCTCCTCCTCCTCCTCCTCCTCCTCTCCTCCTTCCTCTTCACCCCTGCTCTCCTCCTTCCCGTCGTCGTCCTCCCTCCTCTTACTCCTCCTCCTCATCCTCCTCCTCCTCTTCACCCTGTTCTCCTCCTTCCCGTCGTCGTCCTCCCTCCTCTCCTCCTCCTCCTCCTCCTCCTCCTCCTGCTCCTGCTCCTCCCCTTTCCCCCTCCCCTCCTCCTGCTCCTCCTCCTCTTCCTCCTCTCTCCTCCTCCTCCTCCTCGTCGTCCTCCTTCTCCTTCTCCTTCTCCTCCTCCTCCTCCTCCTCCTCCTCCTCCGCCTCCCCCTGCCTCCCTCCATCCCTCTTCCTCCGCATACCCCTGCTGGTGCTCCCCTTCTCCCCCCCCAACCTACCCCTCGTCCCCTCTCCCTCCCGCCTCGCCCTCTTTCCCCTCGTCATCCTCCTCGTCCTCGTCCTCCTTCTCCTCCTATCCCTCCATCCCGTCATTCCTCCTCGTCCTCGTCCTCGTCCTCGTCCTCGTCATCCTCCTCCTGCTCCTCGTCCTCCTCCTCCTCCTCCTCCTCCTCCCCTCTCCCTCCCTACTCGCCCTCTTCATCCTCTTCGTCCTCCTCCTCCTCCTGCCCCCCTCCATCACTTTTCCTGATGAGTAGTTTATCCCTGCCGCCAACCCAGACGTGTCGGCAGGGCGGGCTGGGCGGGCCGCCCGAGACTTCCCCGCCAGTCATGATCGTGACATGGAAATCTGCAGCGGTTTCAGAGATGGAGGCGGGGTCCTTTGCGACACGTGGCGTTCGCCTTCGCACCACGCACACCCGTCTTACGATGTTGCACCAGTGCCAAGGATTGAGGGCGGGCCCCTTCCAACATGCGGCTCTCGCCCTGGTGACGCACAGGCTCGCCGTACACATTGGCAACAACTTCAAAGATGGAGGACATTTCCGTTTGAAAACGCGGCTCTCGCCCTGGTGACGCACAGACTCGTCTTACACATTGGCAACAACTTCAAAGATGGAGGAACTTTCCGTTTGAAAACGCGGCTCTCGGAATGCGGGTCCTTTTTCAAAGTGTGGCTCTCGCCTTAGCGCCGCGCTCATTCGTCTTGCACGTTTGCAACAATTGACGGAGCACGTTTCCTTTCAGCATGTGGATCTCGTCTGAGCGCCGTGCGCATCTGTGCTAAGATCTGCAGACGTTTCAAGGCTTCGTAGGGTTGAAGTCCCAGGGACGGTTTTCTGGCAAGAGTTGGACAATCAGAACGCAACAATGATGTTGATTTGCGGTGAAGTCACAAGACTGGAACGAATTAGGGTTGCCAGGACGCAACCGTCGCCCAGGACGCAACCGTCGCAGTGATTCGCTGCGCTGAAGTCCCAATAATGGCGCTTGGGCGCAATGGTGGATTCTCAAACGATTGCCATTAAATGGAACACTTCCCGCAATGCAAATACGTCATGTCTGCTGGGAGCCTGTGAATAGGAAACTTGGGGGGTCATTGCAACATCGTTGATGGGTGTTGGGTTTGCACTGGTCCCTCCTCCTCCTCCTCTTCCTCCTCCCCCTCGTCCTCCCACTCCTGACTCCTCTTCCTCCCACTCCCTCACCCCTTACTCCTCCCCCTCCCTCGATCCCCCTTCTTCCTCCCTCCTCCCCCTCCTCCCCTCCCTCACCTCTTACTCCTATTCCTCCCCCTCCTCATCCCCCTCTTCATCCCCCTCCTCATCTGCTTTCTCCCCCTCCCCATCTCTCTCCTCCTACTCCTCCTCCGTCATCCTTCTCCTCACTCCTCCTCCCCAGCCCCCAGCCCTGCCTAATTTCTGTTCCGGAGGACCTGTCACAAGTGCTCTAGACTGTAGTCTTTGTCCGCAGGCGGGAAAAGTCCCAGCTGGACCCCGCCCTGAGCCCCGTAGTGGTGGCGAATCGGGCTCCAAATGAGCGAGCGAGGTCAGGCTGGTGGATGGCGCCACCACCGCCTGGGCCGAACATCATATGATGGGCCCCTCTACCAGCTGCGCGTCAGGTGGAGAGGTAGTGTCTGAACGCAGTAGCTCAGTACCTCCACCCCCTCCAAACCTAAACTATGTGAATATTATCCCAGTGCGACCCTACCTAGGAGTTGGAGCATTCAGGAAAGCAACAGCTAAGCTAAGCTAAGCTAAGCTACGATGGGGTAAGCTAAGCTAAGCTAAGCTAAGCTAAGCTAAGCTAAGCTAAGCTAAGCGAAGCGAAGTGAAGCTAAGCTAAGCTAAGCGAAGCGAAGCGAAGCTAAGCTAAGCTAAGCTAAGCTAAGCTGGGCTAGGCAAAGCTAAGCTAAGCTAAGCTGAGCTGAGCTAAGCTAAGCTAAGCTAGGCTAGGCTAGGCAAAGCTAGGCTAAGCTAAGCTAAGCTAAGCTAAGCTAAGCTAAGCTAAGCTAAGCTAAGCTAAGCTAAGCTAAGCTAAAGCTAAGCGAAGCTAAGCAGGGTAAGCTAAGCTAAGCTGGGCTAGGCAAAGCTAAGCTAAGCTAAGCTGAGCTGAGCTAAGCTAAGCTAAGCTAGGCTAGGCTAGCTAAGCTAAGCTAAGCTAAGCTAAGCTAAGCTAAGCTAAGCTAAGCTAAGCTAAGCTAAGCTAAGCTAAGCTAAGCTAAGCTAAGCTAAGCTAAGCTAAGCTAAGCTAAGCTAAGCTAAGCTAAAGCTAAGCGAAGCTAAGCTCAGGGTAAGTTAAGCTAAGCTAAGCTAGGGGAACCCAGGGGGCGCAACCGGGGGAACCAGGGGGGCGCAACTGGGGGAACCGCCCGGGGTGGGTTACACTGCCCGCCCCCTTTAGCACACAAATTATCCCAGTGCGACCCTACCTAGGAGTTGGAGCATTCAGGAAAGCAACAGCTAAGCTAAGCTAAGCTAAGCTACGATGGGGTAAGCTAAGCTAAGCTAAGCTAAGCTAAGCTAAGCTAAGCGAAGCGAAGCTAAGCTAAGCTAAGCTAAGCTAAGCTAAGCTAAGCTAAGCTGGGCTAGGCAAAGCTAAGCTAAGCTAAGCTGAGCTGAGCTAAGCTAAGCTAAGCTAGGCTAGGCTAGGCAAAGCTAAGCTAAGCTAAGCTAAGCTAAGCTAAGCTAAGCTAAGCTAAGCTAAGCTAAGCTAAGCTAAGCTAAGCTAAGCTAAGCTAAGCTAAGCTAAGCTAAGCTAAGCTAAGCTAAAGCTAAGCGAAGCTAAGCTCAGGGTAAGTTAAGCTAAGCTAAGCTGGGCTAGGCAAAGCTAAGCTAAGCTAAGCTGAGCTGAGCTAAGCTAAGCTAAGCTAGGCTAGGCTAGGCAAAGCTAAGCTAAGCTAAGCTAAGCTAAGCTAAGCTAAGCTAAGCTAAGCTAAGCTAAGCTAAGCTAAGCTAAGCTAAGCTAAGCTAAGCTAAGCTAAAGCTAAGCGAAGCTAAGCTCAGGGTAAGTTAAGCTAAGCTAAGCTAGGGGAACCCAGGGGGCGCAACCGGGGGAACCAGGGGGGCGCAACTGGGGGAACCGCCCGGGGTGGGTTACACTGCCCGCCCCCTTTAGCACACAAAGCAAGAACCCTTCTAGGCAGAGCCTAGGTAGGGAAGTAAGAACCCTTCTAGGCAGAGCCTAGGTAGGGAACTACTCTCCTCTGTCCCCCGGATATGTCCTGAGAGTATTTCCCCCCATCCGCGTTGTTTGTTACATTCAGGATTCGCGAGACCTAGCTTTGTCATTTTTCACCAAAAAATGGCTCTCGCTGCGAGAATCTATACAACCCGAATGTTCACGTTTGTTCACAATGTGTTCTCGCTGCAGCGTGGGCGTTCAGAATGGCGCTCACGCCCCAGCGTGGGCCACTGGTGCCGCAAGCCTCACAAGTTTCACAGGTCCCACAGGTGTCGCAAGTGTCGCATGCCCTACAGGTCCCAAAGGTCCGACAGGTCCCGCATGCCCCACAAGTTTGCAGGTGTCGCATGTCTCACAGGTCCCACAAAGGTCTCACAATTCTCACAAATCCTGGAAGTCCCGCCGGTGCCCCAGGTCCCACAAGTGTCGCAAATCTCACAGGTCTCACAGCTTCCAGAGGTCCCACAAGTCCCGCAAGTTCCCCAGGTCTCACAGGTGTCGCAGGTCTCCCATTCCCTACAAGCCACAGAATTCCACCACGTCGCACAGGTCCCACACGTTTCCCTTTTCCGACTGCGCGTAGCACGATGGGCTCTCTTGTGGAAGTCCAGGTCGGGTATGACACGCGTCCGCGGCTAGAGCAAATAGCAGCGCAAAGGCAAAGACGGGAGGGAGGGATATGATGTCAGATGTGGCGCGGGCGCACCGAGCTTCGTCCCCCTCCCTCTCTCCCCTTCTCTCCCTCGCCGTCCTCCTCCTCCTCCTCCTCCTCCTCCTCGTCCTCCTCCTCCTCGTCCTCCTCCTCCTCCTCCTCCTCCTCCGCCTCCTACCAGCGCGCCGTCCTGGTCCACGAACTTGAACGCCGCGACCCACCTGCGACGGGCGGCGCTCCGTCAACATCCCCCCGGGGCCCGCCGCGGGACTGGCGGGGACGGGGCGGGAAGCCGGGAGCCTGTTTTTCTTTGGATTCGGGCAAGTTTACTTGCATGGACGGGGGGGGGGCTGAGTCTGAAGCACGCCGAAAACAATTCGACGTGCGGAAATCACGCAAGTCGAAAGGCGCTTGCACGCTCGTGTTCGACTGAAGAGGGGCGAGGGGGGGGGGTGTGGGGGGCGAACGCCATGCAAGTAAGCTTGCCTGGATATAAAGAAAAACAGGCTCCAGAGGACGACCCTCGGGCACCGGAGGCAGGCGGGGCGCCGCTTGAGCTAGGGCTCCCAACTTCGCGCTTCGCGCTGCGCGAAGCGCGAATAACTTCGCAATCTCGCGCCGCCCTCCCAAAGGGAGAATAGGAGGACGAGGAGGAGGGGGAGAAGGAACGAGGACCGCGAAGCGCGAATAACTTCGCGCCCTCGAGGGAGCCCTTGCTTGGCAGGGGGGCCCCCGCCGCGTGGGAAGCCTCGTTGGCGCGGCCGCGGCAGCCGCGCGACGCCGCGGCGCCCACGCCTCGCCTCCCCGTCGTCGCGCCGCCGCCCGCGCCCCTGCGAGGGGGGCGCCCTGGCGCTGCCGCCCTGGAGAGGGGCTCCCCTCTCCAACCGACGCCGCGGCGCGCGAGACGCGACCGTCTGCGCGACCCTGGTGGTGACCTGGGTCTCCCCTCCCCTTCCGTCGCGCTCCCCTTCATTGAAGGGGCCCTGGGACACGCAAATAAATACACGCAAATAAACATATCCCCCATATTTTTCCATATTTTCTGGGTTTTTGTCTTCCCCCTCACGTCCCATATTTTCCTATATTTTCCTGGGAGTGGACGATTAATTGTGTCTGTGTGTTTTTTCTCCTCCTGATTCATCCCCTCTCCCTCCACCCTGCGGCTGCAGGCCACTCGAGGTCCGCATGTGATGCCACCAGAGCCTTGCACCTCGAACCCATGGTCGCAGCACAGACGTAGCCGCACCGTTTTGCTCACCCGGATGCCGACTAGAAACGATGCCATCCAATCGGCCGCGTCCGCGAAGAGCACGATAACGAGGGGCACGAAGGAGACGACGAACACAAAACGAGGAACACGAAAAAGACAAAACGAGGAGCCAGGACGACGACGAGGAGCACGACGAAGACAAAACCAACGCTGCCGTCCAATCGGCCTGGCCCGCGAGGACGGCGACGAGGAGCGCGAGGGCGATGCAGCGAACGAGGGGAGGCCGAAGACGGACAGGGCGACGAGGATGACGTGGATGGCCAGGGCGGGGAGGGTGAAGAAACGCAGGATGGAGGCCCCGGCCTCCAAGGTCTTCACGCGTTCAATACCCCATCGGTCGGAAGAGGCAGGTAGAAACATGAAGTAGGAAGGCGCTGAAAGTGGATTGGCTTCCGTCCGCCCCCTAAGGACGACGGAGAAAGGTGGAACCACTCGACCATTGAAGTTGGAAGAGGCGGAGGCGGAGGCGGAGGAGGAGGAGGAGGAGGAGGAGGAGATTGGAATCTGGGAATCCAAGAGTACCCACTTTGAACGACCGCTGGGTACGGGGCCCCGGGAGCCCTGGACCACTTCTGGGGGCCCTGGCTCTGCGTTCCGCCCTGGCTCGTCTCTGGACGGCCCTGGGGGCCAGCCGGGGGCTCCTGGACGCCGCGTGCTGCGAGACTCCACTGCGATGTTTTGGGAACCCCCAAACTGGGTGGTGAGATACCAGGTGGCGACCTGGAATCCCCAAAAAGGTCACCGCTGGGTTTGGGGACGCGGGGTCACCACCGGGTTTTTGTGACTCCTGGACCCACCAGTGTCCGGGACATCCTCGGAAAACCGCACGAGTCCCCAAACCGGGTGGTGACACCAAATCGCGATGCTGTCCCTAACCCTCCTGTGGGTTGGGTCCTCGTTTTGAATCCGCAGCGCCGCGCGCCACCACTTCCACCACCACCACCGCCACTACCACCACCGCCACCTTCTCCTCACCTTCCTCCTCCGCCTCCTCCTCTTTCTCCCTCCTCCTCCTCCTCCTCCTTGCGCTGCCTTCCACATGTCTGTCTCGGCGCACCCCTCCCTCAAACGCTTCGTGCCCCCAGTGGGGGCTCCTTTTAAGGCCCCAGGGGCAGGGCCCGCATGGTTACCAGGCCCATGTCGGCGCACCCTCACACGTTTACAACCAGAGCTCTAATCCCACCAGCCCTCTGGGCGTCGGTGGTTTAAGGGGTTTCCTCTTCCACCCCTCCCTCTTCCCCTTCGGGGAGGGGTTTACCCTTCCCCCTACCCCCTCCCCGCTGACCTGGACAGGGGGTTCCGCGGCGCGTTGGAGCGCCCAATATCGACCCCTGGGAGGGCTAAAATTCGACACCCCTCACGAGGATCGTGGCTCCTGACGGGGGGGGGCTGTAATTTAGGAGCCCCCCTTCGTTGATCGATCTCCTCCAAGATAGCTCCGAGGCCCCCCAAGAGGCCCCCAGGGGGCCCCCAAGAGACCCCCAAGAGGCCCCAAGAGACCCCCGAAAGGCACCCAAGAAGCGCCCAGGAGGCCCCAAGAAGCGCCCAGGAGGCCCCCAAAGGCACCAAAATGGCCCCAAGAGGCCCCCAGGAGGCCCCAAAGAGGATCCCGAACGGCCCACAGAGGCCCCCCCGAGGCACCCAAGACGCCGAAAAAACCCTCAGGACGACCCTCTACTCGCCTGGGCGTCGTTTCTGGACGGGCTGGTGGGATTTTTTTTTTTTTATATATATATATATATATATATATATATAAACAGCCGCAGGCGGAAGCGCCAGCGGCGGAAGGTCGCGAACGGGCCGCGGACGCGACTAAATTACCTAACGCGCGCAGGGCCGCGGATCAGGCGGCTCACGACAACGTCCAGGGGGGCGAGGCCGATGCAATCCAGGTGCCATGACAGCCCCTGAACGGGCATGCAGGTGCGTCCAACGGGCCTGAGGTAGGCACCGAGACGACCTAGCGCAGCCAAAATGGCGCGATAACGTTCCAACGTCCAGGTGCGGACAAGGGAACGACCCGAGGACGTCAGCCCCAGCCTGTCGGGTAGCACAGACGACGGGGAGGTAAGTCCAGCGAGGATCCCGACGGCGGCAGCGAGCCGCGGCGCCAGAACGGCATCAAGGTGTAACTGGTGGGGATACGCGAAGCGTCTAGAATTCTTGAGCTTCAGCTCTAGTGGCCGGGGTGGCTTTGCCGGGGTAGGGGGACGGGGGGGTCGATTGAATTCCCGGGGCGGGATCGGAGCTCCAGCGCAGTCTGGGGCGGCCCCCTCGCCCGGGAGGGCCCAAGCATGGGCCAAGAGGGCCCCGAGTCGCCGAACGATCGCTACGGGGCGCCCAGGATGCCCCCGAGCCTGGTCCAGAAACCTCCAGGATGCCCTCAGATCAGGGGGACGTAAGACCTGGGTACAGGGGACTCGGAAATCCCCGACGAGGTCGTCAAACAAATGAAGAGGCCGAGCCTGCATTTTGACGAGGCCTCCCGCTGCAAACATCCCACGAAACTCCTGCTCGTCAAAATCCGAGTTGCGGTCGTCAAAAAACGATGGCGAACCCGAGTCCTGGCAAACCCGGGTCTTACGCTCCCCCGATCCAAGATGCCCTCAGAAGACCTGAAAAAAAAAACCTCCCGGAAAAGGCCAAAATAAACAACACATGTCCAATTCCCTATGGCAAGCGTGCAATTTTAGCCGGCTCGCCTCTCGGGCCTTCAGAGCGTCGCATACGCCGCAAGAGAGCCCCAAAACGGCCCAAGAAGCTGCCAAGAGGGTTCCAAGACTGCCCCGGGCCCAAAATGGCTCAGGAAGCCAGCGGAAAAAACCCAAGAGGGCCCAAGGACGGACCCAAGAGGCGCATGAGAGGCGCCAAGACGGCGGACGAAATGCCGAAGGCGGCCGTATAAACCCCCAGCAGGCCCCCAGAGGCCCCCACGAAACCTTAAGAGGCCCCACGACGCTTCCAACTGGCCTCGAAGAGGCTCCCTGAAGCCCTCCAAGGCCTCCAAGAATGTCACACATGCACCCAAGACGCCTTCGAGAGGCCTCCAAGCTACTTCCAAGACTCCCCCCTCGAGACGCCTCCAAGCTGTTTCCACGGCGCTTACGTCTGAACACAAGCGCTACAATACAAAAAGGTTCGTCTACGCACTCACATATTATCCCGTCTTCGGTGTCCTTCACATCCATGACCTAACAAAAGGGCCTGCAGATGACCGCGCGAAGGCCCCAGAGACCCCTAAAGCCATGGTTCCCAGCAGAGACGGAGTGAGTGCGCCAAATCGGCGAGGTGCCAACCCGAAGAGGGCCAACACCTGGCCCCAAAGAGGCTTTCCAACAACCGCAGAACACCTCCAACAACCGCCGAAAATCTCCTCATCCTCGTCATGCTCCTCCTTCTCCCCCTCCCCCTCTTCCACTTTCCGCTTCCTCCTGCTCCTCCTCATCCTCAGCATCCTGCTACTCCTGCCCCTCCCCCCCCACCCCCTCCCACCTCATCATGATCCTCCTTCCCCTCCTCATCCTACTCCGTTGCCTCCATTCCCAATTCTCATCATCCTCACCGCTCGCCGTCGTCGCTGGTCTCGTGTGCTTCCGGCAGCAACGGAAGCGTCCCGGATCGGCGGCACTGGCCGGAGGCCACTACAATAGCTCTACATCCACATGGTCACCTGGCCAATTTCGCGCACCCCTCAAGCGCATCGTGCCCCCATGAGGACTTCCGCTTCAGGCCCCAGCGACAGGACCCGCATGTTTGCCCAGCCCATTTCAGGGCACACCTCACACGCTTTTTGGTCGCAAAGGTAGGAAGCTCTACGGCAAGGTCCGCATGACTACCCGCCCAATCTCGGCGCACCCCTCACACGCTTTGTAGTCCCCTAAAAAGCCCCTAAGAAAACCCAAGTGGCTAGATCCGCATGGTTACCCGGCCAATTTCGGCGCACACCTCACACGCTTCGTGACCTCATACAGAGCTCCACCGAAGGCCCGAGTGGCTGCGGTTGCATGGGGCCCCGCTAGATTTGGGCACATCCCTCACGCCTTCAGCTAGGGCTCCCAACTTCGCGCTTCGCGCTGCGCGAAGCGCGAATAACTTCGCGCTCTCGCGCCGCCCTCCCAAAGGGAGAAGAGGAGGACGAGGAGGAGGGGGAGGAGGAAGGAGGACCGCGAAGCGCGAATAACTTCGCGCCCTCGAGGGAGCCCTTGCTCACGCCTTCAGCGTGGTTCGACGCTCTCTGCGAAGCGCAGTGCTCCCGCGCACGGAAGGGTCCTGCTTCTAGTTGCCACGGTTTGCAAAAAAAAATGGTCGGGCTCTTCGACGGGCTAACGTTTCGATGCTGGAGGAGCAGCATCAGCGGCGAGGTGGGCCCTGGAGGCCGAAGCGGCGAGGACAAGAAACGACAGAACGACGCCGCCGTGGAAGAGCTCATCTCGTCGCAGCGAACGACGGATGAGAGGAGGAGGAGGAGGAGGAGGAGAGGGACGAGGAGGGAGGAGGAGGAGGAGGAGGAGGAGGAGAGGAGGAGGAGGAGGGGGCCCACTCGTCGTAGCCGATCTCCCCGTCCCCGTCCACGTCCAGGAGGTTGCTGAAGTCCGCGGCTGGCCTGGTGGCGGCCCGCCCCTCAGGGCCACGGCTCAAGCCTCGCCGCCCCGGCTGCAAACCACCTCCCCTCGGCCGGCCTCCCCTGACCCTTTTCTCCTGCTCCTGCTCCTGCTCCCGCTCCTCCTCCTTGAGTAACTACCAAGCAATCGGGACCGAACCCACCGCGTCCCCCGACGGTGGTCAGAGTTGGCTGCATCATGTGTCACGGTGTTGCTGTCATGTAATGCTTTCGGCCGGCGCACAGTTTTACGCTTTCGTCGCGCAGCGATGCAACAAATGTTGCGTTTTGTTGCGCGTCTGGCAATTGCGTACCCAATTATTTACGAGGAGGAGGAGGAGTCCTCGTCCTCCTCGTCCTCCTCCTCCTCCTTCACCCCCCCTGCCCCCCGAACTTCCAGGTCATTAGGTCATTGAAAAACACAGCGGATTGGATCCGTCATTTAGGGCGCCTGTGCGTCCTCGCCAGGCCCCGGAACTGCTAAAAGCAGCAATGCAGAACGGAACACAGATCATCCTTAGAAACTGACGCAGAGCTCCAGGGACCCCGTATCGAAAAAATCTGAACATCGGAGGTCTGGGCCCATCTCCCCCCTCCCCCTCCTCCTCCTCCTCCTCCTCCTCCTCTTCTTCTTCTTCTTCTTCTCAGTATTAGTATTCTTCCTCATCGTCATCGTCATCGTCATCGTCATCGTCATCGTCGTCGCCATCGTCATCGCCGCCGTCGTCCTCCGCCTCCTCGTCCTCCTCCTCCTCCTCCTCCTCTTCTTCTTCTTCCGCCTCCTCGTCCAGGCGTGCGTGGGCCAACCGCGGGGCCTGATCCTCACCGACTTCCGGGGGCTCCCGCCGGCCCTGCCCGGGCTCGGGCTTCGGAGGGTGCTCCGCATGCCGCCCCCGCGGGGCCCCCGGGCGCGGCCGGGGAGGGGGGGGCGCGGGCGCTTGAGGCACCTGGGGGGGAAGGAGGAGGGGGGAGAGAGGGAGGGGAGGACAGGGAGGGGAGGGGGAGGGGAGGGGGAGGGGAGGGGAGACAGGGAGGGGAGGGGGAGGGGAGGGAGGGGAGACAGGGGGTGGGGGCGCGGGCGCTCGAGGCACCCTTGGGAGGGGGGGGAGGGGAGGGGAGACAGGGAGGGGAGAGGAGAGGAGAAGGATCGGCGGTGGACAAACCTCCCTTTAGTAGACCTCCCCTTGGTGAAAACGGCCTGGGACCGAAGTCGACGGACCTGGACCCGCAAAAATGACGGCCGCGACGCCCTCTCGCGAAACGAAAACGGCCAATTCCTAAATCGACGTGTCAGGGTAGGAGGTCTGTCCACCCCCGAAAGGAGCGCTGCTGCCCTGGGCGGCAAAGCCAGGCAATTACTCGAGCAGTCATTATCCCACATAGGAGCGGCCAGCGATGTACATGAGCTGCTACCAAGGGCTGCGGCTCGCTGGAAACTGATGTGTGGAAGGCGCTGCTGCCTTGGGCAACAGTACGACACAACGAAATACTCGAGCTGTCGTTGTGCCAGAAAATGCTTGAACGACAATGAACGTTATTGGTTGGCGCATGACCCTGACTTGGACGGTCATGTCGCATTGGCACCAACATCCTAACTTCGCGCTCTCGCGCCGCCCCCCAGGGGAGAAGAGGACGAGGACTTGGAGTCGAAGCGCGAAGCGCGAATAGCTTCGCGCCCTCGAGGGCCCCCCTGGCTTCAGCAGTGCTTCCTTCTCCGACGGAAGCCGCGCCGATCAGCCCGACCCCCATCGGTGACCTGCCACAAGTGCAAACTTGGGTGCCCAGCCAACCCCCGCAGGCGGCGGCACTGATCAAGCACGCCGGATGGGTGCCACCCTTGCGCGCGGAAGAGGAGGAGCAAGGCGAGCCCTTGACACACATATCCTGCACAAGAGAGGCACGCCGAGCTCGAATCTAGTCCGGGAAACATCCGCTCAGATTGCGGAGGAGTCGGTGAGGATCCTCATGTGCGCACTCTCGTCGCTCGTAGGCTGCTTGGTCGAATTCAAGCACCCACGGTAGGCGCTCGGTGCGTAAAGTAAGACGCCCACCCCGCGCACGAACACGCGGCTGCGCGCCGCGGACTGTCGTCCCAACCCGGAGTTCTTGGTCACGACGTGCGCATTGCAAAAAGTCCCCAGCCACTTCTCGCCGACGACGTACAGCGTGCCCGCAGCCCCCTGCGTCGCGTAGAAGTCCACGGTGCCCTCGTGCGTGAAGAGCGTGTCGTCGTATTCTGGCCATTTTTTCCAAGCGCGCATCCGACTGATCCGCTGCCCCTCCAAGGGTGTTCAGAAGCTCCGGCATCAGGCCAAGGTGCGGCCTCAAATCACACATGGACCGGCACGCCCAAAATAACACTTCAACTCGGTTATTTCCCCCTGGGGCCGCCCGCTGAAGCAAAAGACATGACGTGAGAGGCCCCACGGATGACCACGTAAACTTGAATGCCAAGTACATGCGAAGAGAAACGGGGAGGAGGAGGAGGAGGAAGAGGAGGAGGAGGAGGAGGAGGAAAAGGAGGAGGAGGGGAAGGAGGAGGGGGAGGAGGAGGACCGGCAGGAGGAAGAGAGAGGAGAGGGAAAGCCTGATACGAAAGTGCCAGAATTCGTATCAGCTACTTCCGCGCAGTGCACGGCGGAGAAAATAACAAGTCTCATATTCCCTCCTGTACGCCACGCAACTGGGACGTAGACACCCAAAGCACATTGTCCCCAACGTTATGATGCCGAATAAAAGCATGAATTGTGTAACAGCTGTACACATGGAGTGAAACGGCCTTGTGGGAGGAGTTGGAAGGAGAACAAAATAAGAAATGGCGGAACGACCGATTGCATAAATCAAGGTGCAAATAACGACGGCTTGCCTCTAAGAAGACAAGACAACACCAAGAATGCTCGATCGAATCGGAGACTGAAGTATTGCAACGTACTTTTTCGTCTGCAGGCCCGCGGAGCAAGTCGAAAACCGTCCGATCACTAGCCGGGCCGCGATTGGGCAGCAGGAAAAGAGAGGGGCAAGCGAAACGAGCGCGCGGGCAGCCACTCAGAAGGAGCACCGGGAGCGGCACTCCAAACCCGGTGACGTGGAAATCCCATGGCAACCATCAAATAAACGCAGCCAAAATAGCGCGGCGGCGCGACCGTTTTGCAAAATGCGCATGGGGTTTCCTTTTGGAAGCGCCGGGCGGTTGTCCAGCCATTGAAAAGAGTATGGACACAGGCAGACAAGGCACACGGAAAAACCTGGCGCCGCAATCTGGACATGTTGCTGGCAGAACACTCCGCGCAGACGCGCAGCTCACGTGAAAACAAGCCTCTGGTTCGAGACGTCCTCAACAAATCCTCATGCTAGACATCTGTCTGGGCAACCTGGAGGCGTGAAACCAAGCGTCTCGCTCGAGACATCCTCAAGACCTGGGCACGCGAAAACAAACATTTCACTTGAGAGATCCTCTGAATTCGGGCCCCCAGAAGAGGACAATCTATAACGCACAAAAAAAGCTTCGCTCGATATATCCTCAACAAATTGTGAAACAACAAGGACGTTTCGCGTGAGACATCCTCAAGAATAATTCCGCCCGCCCTCTTCGACCTCGTTATTGATCGCAAACAGTTCAGCCGGCCCCTTTCAAGTCAAAAAGAGAACCCTGGGGCGCAGCCCTTTCCGGGACGAGTGCAACGGTCTCACCTCCGCAGAACGCCCCTTGCCGCATGCCTCCGTCGCCGCCGGCGCCGGTTGACCCCGCGTTCGCTGTGCGCGACTAGCTCCAGGAACGAAGGGGGGGAAGGGGGGGGGAGGGCAGAAGGGGGGGGGGGGGGCAGGGGCAAAGGCCAGGCGCGGGGCGGAGCTGCGGTCGTGCTTCTTTGTGTGTTCGACGCGTCTTTTCCCCCCTCAATGCCCTAACCGCGGCGCGGCTTGGGCGGTTTCGGCCCGGCGGCGGCCAATATCTCGATCTCCATGGTGCCGGTGCTGGTGGTGATCAGCTCCGCGAAGTCGTGCTCGGCCGACAGGGGCACCCACCTCATCTTTGTTGTGCATCGACCAGCCCGGCGCGGCGACCGACATCGGCCATCGCGCGCGCAGGCGCTCCTCCTCGGCCCCCATCTCGATGGGCGCCGCGCAGATGCCTTTCGGCGCGCTCTCGATCGCCATCCGGGGCGGGCCGCCGGCCGTGAAGGCCGACGCATTGTTCGTCGCGCCCTCAGCCGCGACATTCGCCCTGATCCTGTCCAGGACCGTCTTGTTGCAGTGCTCCACCTCGAGGGTGATGAGCGGGCCGGCAGAATGCACCTTGCCCGGCAGCTCGTCGGTTCCGCCTTCGCGGGAACGCAGGCGGGCCAGCTTGTCCATGCCCTCGTAGAACTCCTTCATGCTCGTGGTCCTGCCTTTCCACGCAGCAATGTTGTTGCTGGGGGGGGGGCGCCCAACTTCTGCGCCGACTTCTGCATGTTCGCCGTGGAAGTCTGCAGGCGGCCCCACATGATCATGCCGTCGTTGGCTTCTCTCTCCCCCATCGGGGCTCTGGCCGCGGGGGCGGCCGCCCCGGCGAAGGTGCCCCTGAGGGTCGAGCGTCTGTTTTGTGCCCGCTGGTGGCTGAGATTCCCGTGTCTCTTCCTGCTTGGCCTCCTCCTGGTGGCCTGCCTGGTAGTTGTGCGCCGCCGTCTGCGCGTCCGTCTTCCAAGCCGCCGCTTGGGACTTCGCTCGCTGGAGCGTCACCGCCGAAGGTTTCGGCCCGTGCTCTCAGCGGGGGGCCGGGGAAGTCCGGGCCGCTCTGCCCAAAGGCGTGGTCCGCGTCCGAAGGCGAGCAAGAAGGCCCCAGGAGTTGAGGCCATGGCGCGCCGCGCAAACTCTGGCGGCACGGCGATGCCCGTGCGAATTCAACATGCAACTCGAGCCGCGCGCGACTATAAACCCGTATAAGTTATACAATATTCGTGAAGTCGAAGCCAGAAACCTGCGTAGGTTACGCTATATGCGCCCCCGAAGCCATGCACCTGAGC